CGCACACATGTATCTTTGTGAAGAAATACGCGTTGATAGATACTAATAATTCGTGCTTGTTTTTGTCTTGGTTAATTACGTTGTTTAATAAACCTAATCTTATAAAATAATACTGTATGTTTTTTTATTCTATTGTTATTTTTTTTATTCTGTTCAATATTAATGATTCTTTACTAATCAGCCGTTTGAAATACATTTATCGCGCGATTAATTCTATGAACGTAAAATTTGTTTTTGCTTTATAACGTGACGATAAATTTAAAGCAGACTTTCAGGCATTAATTAATTATTTCATGGCATTATAGGTTAAATTGGATTTCTAGGTTAAATCGCGTTTCTAATTACAAATATAATTAATTATATATACAGGTATGTTTTTTTAAAACATTTATTATTGGGGAATGATATAAGAACTTGCGTCTGTCACTGTTTTGATTGATTACACTTATATTGAAATTAGTCTCTTCACTGATAACTAGTAAAATCTGCAATTAGTTTTAATGTTTTGATAGCGAGAGAGTTTTAACAGATGTTATCAGCACAGCAGTTATTTTTTTAAACGTTTCCATCAACGATTAATATATCGATTTGTGCATAATTTTTATGACATATTTATAGATCAAATATTCTGTTAAACAATAATTCACCATCAATATTTTCTTCTGATATTTTACTACATTCGCGAGTAATCAAATATGTATATAACTTTTGTTAACAACATGTACGATAACATACGCGTGACGCATTGTACGACACGTGCGAATTCATATTGATTACGTAAAATCATTATATGCTATTTTTATAATTCTGCGATGATATAGCTAGACATATCGTTGTCAATCAATTTTATTCGCAAGATTTACGGGATCGATGGTCGATAGCTCATTAGAGAAACGATTTTATCTGTTCTATTCCATAGTACACAAGATTTATTCGCATCTTTTACAATAAACCTAGGCTAAGTAGTTTGTAAATTAGCGATAGGTGAACATGTCAGTTAGCGAGGACACGTGCTATGTATAGAGTTTTTCCTCGTATGTCGTGTCACAGTAAGTGTGTGTGAGAGAGAGAGAGAGAGAGAGAGAGAGAGAGAGAGAGACTCCTTTTCTCTTGATGATTACAACGTGCCAAAGTCAAGGAAGCCGTCAGGGCCGCAACCGGCTAAAGGCCGGTTTTATATGTAGGGCGCATCGGATACAAGGCATAAATCGCTCGAGGCATTCGCCAACGCAAAGAGTAGACTGACAAAGCGTACACGCGCAATCAGTGGCGTAGCGAGTAAATACTTGCCTTTATTTTCCAAAGTTAATTTGAGTCTTGAAAAAATTTATCTGATAGGATGTGCCTTCATGAAAACAAAGATAATTTTTACACGTATAATAGAGCGTCTACATTTTTCTAAAAAAGCGAAATCTCATTTACTTGTCTACTTTATCTGATATTCTTATCTATAATATTTTATGAAAATGCAGATATAAATTATATAGAATGTGAAATAATAAGGCAAATATCATTATCAATCCCTTAACTCCCGTAACTCTTTTAGTCTTACAACATACCGTCTTTCTTTCTCCAACATTTTCTTTTCTAACATTTGTAACTGTTTTATTAATAAAGATACATACATTTGTTTAGTACATAATTTGTTCAGGAATTTGTGTTCCTTGAGTTATTTCGATTGAAAAAAAATTTTCTACACTTTATTTATTTTTATGAAAATTATAAACAATTGGATATATCATACACATACGAAGTGTTGTTCCCATAATATCGCGTTTAAATGTTAATGCTACAGAGTTAATACTAAACGAATTAAGTTCATCAAATCTACAGATCTCATGTAGAAATTAATTTTCAAATCGCTCATAAATAACATATCGATGAACTTTCTAAATCTTAATTAACACCCCAATTTTTCCCTACGCCATTGTCAGCATTCAACAGTCGTGATCACACGTATTTCGTGGGATTGATCGGCACGTACATATATGTACCGGTAATCGGCCAGGGGCGGTCAAATCGGAGGGCCAAAATGACGGTGAAAGGAGAAGCTACTTTTTTTTTAATTGGCTGTCGAAGCGACCTCGCGAACGTGATGATGACGGACGCATGATGGGAGAACGAGCGTTTGGAGGAAGTCGCAAGAGTCGCGATTAAAACATAAAAATAGCTGGTGCACGTACTACACGATCGTTAGTCGTTACCGCCCCGTCTAATGCGCGGATCCGGAGCGGCTTATTTCTTCAGTTACGCACTATGTGCGTGTAAAACGCGTGGTCCTAGTGGTCTTTTTACGCTTACCAATCATCAGTTCGATTGTGTCACTTCGGGAAGCGACAGGCCGCGGCAGACTTTTCGACAGATCCATTTTTACGCGCGACCGTGTCCGTTGTAAATCGCCAATTCGATCACAAGTTTCAAATCCGATCGCGATATTAATATCGGGTAATTGAAATTGGTATTGTATTAATCTTGATAAGTTTAAATAAATCTTGATAAGTTTCGATATCGTGTTGATAATCGTCGCATTTATTTCTTCGCAAAAGAAAATTTGATATTCGGCATAAGATTTTCTTTTTTCTTTCTCGCACTTATCCAATGGAAATTGAACTTGGTGAAGTTATATATTGGTTCCTGCTTAACGCTAAAGCGTGTGAATTGCTAACAGAGGTCAGCGGCATATCGTTAGAATTGATTTTTTTATAAATTACACCCAAGCAACGGTTGAAGTTAACTAGGATTTCATTAACATTTATAGATCCTGTAAAAGAAAACAACTCTTTAACTCGAGGAAGTTAATTGCACTCGTCAATCTAAGTTCTTTACCTTTTTTTCAATAACTCGATGCTCCACTTTTATAGTGCAATAGAAACGCTTTTGCATCGTGAAATCGTCGTGTGATGCCATCGAAAGATTTAAAGTGTGAATGTAAAGATTAGATATCTAATCGGAGTAATTGGACATTCAAAAAATCTTCGGTTTAATCGAGATGTCTATAGGATTTCAGAGTATTTATAGCAAATTCTTTACTTGAATGCAAGTTTTTTTTTAGTATCAATTCGTTTAGTATCAATTAAAAAAAACTTTTCATTTAGTTTTTCAATTCAGTTTATCGTGAGACACGCGAGTGAGTTAATACTGATCATTCTTTGAGTGTCATGCGATGCTGTAGCTCGACAGCTTGATTAAGACAGATTGAACGAGGTACTGGTAGTCTGCTCCAAATTGAGCAACGCTTAATAAAGTCTAGAAGAATCAGCGGAGATTCTTCTTATTGACGTATTTAGTAATCAGGATTATCTGTGTTTATGTATCTTATTTTTTATTGGGAAATATCGATAAATTTCGATAGTCCAGCATTGCTCGTGCGCCATATTTTGATAATAATGTAGCAACAAGGAAAAAAAACCAATCGTAATGAATATGTAATAGCACTCGCCATTTTTGGACGTCACAAACATAGATTGCTTTGATTGAAGCGGATTGCGAGTGGTGAATATTTGTTCCATTCATTTTTATTGCTTTATGTGTCATAATTAATCTTAATGATAATTCTCTGTATACGTTCAATTATTAAATCGATTGATGTAACATGTGAACACTGATATATTTAATTGTTAATCATACAATCCAGCGATTTTATTGCTTTACTCATATAATAATGTACATATTAATTCTTATCTATATGTACCTCTGTTTTATTTTCTTGTCTGATTATGTAATAAAATGAGCAATATGAGTAAGTTATTTAAGAAAATGCGGAAAGTGCTTAAAATATTTCCTTCATGTCTCAATCCAAATTACAAACGTGTTAGTTAAATATAGCATCCGAGAATTCTTGACAACTTGATACTATCGAAGGATTATCTAAGGTATAAAGAATATTTTATATTAATTATATTAATATTTTCATAAGCACGTTTTATTAAAATCATAATATTATTGTAAAGTGCCTTGAGTATAAGCATGATTCGTAATCTTATGCATAGCAACATGTAATTATATTGTACGGACCTGTTTCTCGAGATAATATTAGTAGTCATTATTCTCTTCAGAAAATTTTTTTTTTTTTTTAACAATATCCTTTTTGTTATGTTATTTATGTAGACTTATCCGTATCTAATGTCTTATGTAACCGACGTGCTTCTAACTTTGGCTTATTACTGAGGCAACAAATATATCTTACTAGCTTTTGGAAGCGTGTCTTCAATGTTCGACAGGAACTTTAATTTTATGCTCGACTCTTTATTTAATTATTAAGATTTTTATGACATCTATGTTAAATATAATATGGAAAAATTGTCTAAGATTTTTTATCTTAGAATAAAACTTTTTTTTAATGTTGTATTCTTTTAAGAGATTTAGATAATACCTCTAGAGATTTATAGAAAACTATGACTCAAATCAATTTTAACTGAAATAGAAATACTATTACGACGAAAGTGTGTGTGTGTGTGTGTGTGTGTGTGTGTGTGTGTGTGTGTGTGTGTGTGTGTGTGTGTGTGTGTGTGTGTGTGTGTGTATGTATGTATTTAAAACTGGCATTTATATCACTTTGTATTTTTTAAACTTAATCGTTAGAATTCTTTTTAAAGTGAAGTAGATAGTTTAGAATTTTTTGAAGAAAACCCGAAATTCTCTTTATCAATCATATCAACATTTTATCAATCTGAAATTCAGAAATGGAAATTGTTAATTAAATTGCAGAACTAAATCAATATTTTTACACAAATCACTTCTATTATCATTTTTAGGATTCGATGGAACATCAGATTATCAGATACTAGGTGTAGTAAAAAGAAATCCATTATTTTTCCATTCAATTTCATGCAAAAATAATGGATTTCTTTTTATTACACCTAATATATAGATACATTTGTGTGTGAACTTTTATAATCTTTGTTATGCGCAGCTTTTGTTCACTCATGCACTTTCTCGTTTGTTCTTGTACCTAAAGGCCCATTAAAGAATAATAAAAGTGCAGCGTGACATTTTCGCAGTGTATGGCACGCGAGATTGCGCGCACGATATTGTTTGACGGGCAGGAAGAGTGCCATTCGTGAATTTTGCACGGTGAAGAGCAAAGGGAATGGATTCGATACGAGACTTGAAGCGATTGCTGTATGAACGTACGGAGGCATTGCGACGTCGCGATGAAATCGTCGAAATACTTGAAAAGGCGCTCGAGGAACGAGACGCTACGATCCGTTACCTCCAGAATGAGATCGATAAGTTCCGGCAGATTGTCGAGCTGAACCTAGCGTCTACTGCCATCGATTCTAATCAGAGACTGAAGCGACAAGCCATATCGGCCGAACCTCTCAGAAGCGATACGAAACCGGTGGTGAAGTTCACCAAGCCGCAAAGGTAGATCGGTAAATGCCTTGAACGTCACATGACTTCTATTTTATTCATCAAACTTTCGATTTTTCTTGATGAGAAGTGCGTTCTTGCTCTTTTTTGTCATTTTCATTATATACACACTGCATTTATATCTTATATAAATTCTGGTATCGCGGTAACAGTTGATCTTGATTTTATAGGTATTTTGACATATTTAACACAGAAAATGATTACTGTAAACATGTATGCTCATTTAAACATAAATGAGATATTTTATATTTATATAGTTTATAAAAATATACAATGAGAGCAAAAAGTACAAGAAAATTTGTTATAAAAAAAGCCTTATTTGTAGAAAATAAACATTAATTGGCAATTTTATACAATGAATACATTCTGTTCTAACATAAATAAATGAACTTCGCATATATTCCTTTTTTAGAAGCTAAATTTCTCTACGAATACTTTTTGAGCATTCAAACAATACAATTTTTAATTTTCGCTTATTTTTCGGATGATATATTTTGTATAATTAATACACATCATTTTGGCATATATAATTTTAAGAAACATACAGTTTATTTTATTCTTTATGAATAAATTGTTAATTATCCAACAAGAAATGATCGTTAATTGAATCGATGTCAAATTGAGTGTTAAAATCATCAAAGTTATATCGATTTGATGACTTATTTCTCGCTGGATATAATATTTACTTTTTAAAAATAAAATTTTTTTTTTAAATATTTTCTCTGTACGAATATTTTTTGTACTCACTGTAGTTTATTAAAATGAAATTAACATATGAAATAAAATAGTTTCGTCAAAATTTTATTTAATGTAAATTCTGTTCCAAAAGAATCGTTCAATTAATTTTACTGAAAATGATAACTACGCATGAATGATTTCATTTATGAAGTTAGTACATATAGACACATTCTATTATATAAAAAAAAATAATGATACTTCATAACTCTACAGATACTTACATTAATGAAAAAAGTTTTGCAGTTTTATAAAAAAATGAAAATTTAATATACCATATCTTTATCTTTTTTGATTTTAGTATAAAAAAATGCAAAACTTTTTTATTTTTATAAGGAATTGTAAATAACTAAAATTGTTATTTTTTTTATATTAACAGAATGTCGTATTAATTTCACACTTGAATGATTCTTTTTGTGATTACAAGCAAAATTTAATTACGAGAGTATTCGAAGATATCAATTTCAGTACATTATATTCTTTATAATGATTTATATTTTTAGATCGAAATCAGTGTTACACTTTAGAGATTATACAAGAATAATTTTGCTAAAATTGTTTAAAATTTATATTGGTACAGATCTGAAAATAATTTTGAACCATCAAAATAATTATATATGGAAATTCAAGCATGAGCAATTCTGCAAAAAGTTTTGAAATTCTAGCGCTTGAATGTCCTACATAATTATTTTGTTGTAATTCAACAAAATTATTCTTAAATCTGTATACATCTATTTTTTTTAGATATTACAACAAAATCGTTTTTTTTTTGTGTAATAATTTAATGCTATATTATTATGTTTTGTTAGACATTTGCATCCTAAGAATTTTTCTTACAATTAAATTTCTTAAAAAATCTGTTCCTGAAAAAGATTTTTGAGATACATTTAATGATATTTTTATTATTTATTTATACTTTCGTTTTTCTATAGGAATATTATTTCTTTTAATACAAAAGAGATTAAGACTGAGAGAAGAAATGAGAGAGAGAAAGAGAGAGAAAAATTTAACAACGATTTTCTTTTTTTTTTTTTCAAGATCTCGCGAGTTGATCAAAACTGCCATACTGGACAACGACTTTATGAAAAATTTGGAACTTACGCAAATCCGGGAGATTGTCGATTGCATGTATCCTGTTACATTTCCAGCTGGTTCGATAATTATACAAGAGGGAGATGTCGGCTCTACTGTCTTCGTCATGGAGGGTAAGTAAATAGCTATTCATCTTTATGAAATGTGACAGTTCCGGGAAAATCCGTAAAGCGTTACGAGAATTGCTGCTTTGACGAAGACAAATTAAATAATAAATAGATCGCTAATAATATCACACGAAGAAAACAAATATTATAACTGTTTTTACGAAAAGTTTCAGTTTCGTACAAAGTGAATAAAAACAAAGTATTTGCTTTTCTGTTCGAAATGTTTGACAAACTTTCATGTTATAGGATAGTTAAAAATATAAGAAATACACTTATTTTATACAAATTTTCAAAACTAACTTGATATGACATTTGCTTTTAAATATTAACTATAAAATATAAAAACTTGTTCTAAGCAAATTCGTAATTATGTGAAAAAAAGATTTAGTTAAGTACATTTAGTTATTTTATATTTGATCAATTATTTCGAAACTATATATTATAGTAATTTATTTGATTTCTCTACTGATTGGGATTTCTTTTTCTCTGATACGTGACCGTTTGTCCACCGTCGCAACGCGTCGAGAATAAAAATTATTCTCTGATATTTAGAAAAAACTTTCGCCTGCAGATCAATTTTTATTCTTATATTGTTTGCATATTGCGATAATTTTTTAATGTGAGAATATCGACGCAAACGCACCTGTTGGTTATCTGTTGTTATTCTTCGACTATGTTTGTTCAAGATATCCCGCACAGGAAAAGCTTTCACCATTTATTTCTTTCCTGCATAATTACAATTGACAATATGGAATCAACAGGAAAAGCAACGGGTCTTTCTAAGAAGATTGTATTGTTATTAACTAAAGTAATTACCTGTTCTGCTTTGAAATGTTTACAAATCTCCTTATACTTTCACATTTGTGTAAATATTTTAAAAACATAATATTGTAATTTTATTTATAGACTCTATGCAAAATAAAGGAAAATAGATTTTTTGTCGAAAATACATAAGAAAATTTATAATAATTTATATATGATATAATGCATTCTAAATAATTGAATTTCTTGATGTATATTTCTCACATACATATCTATATATATATTAGGTGTAATAAAAAGAAATCTATTATTTTTGCATGGATTTTTTTTTATTACACCTAATATATATATAAAGAAAAATCAACATTGTGCACTTAAGCTATCGAGTAATGGCATGTGATATTTTAACTTTGTTTATCTTTACGGAAGCGTTCGCAATTATCTGTTTAAGTTCGATGAACTTTTATGTTGTAGAATAACTCAAAATATAAGAGGTATTACTTATTTTACATATATGTATTTTAATATAGATTGCGAAATGACTTTTCAAAACTAATTTGATATATTTTGCTTTTACTACTAACTATAAAACTTAGAAAGTTGTTCCACGTAAGTTCTCCAATTACTTGGAAAATAAGATCCATATATATTTATTTTATGTTATTTCGTTGAGATATTTAAAAGTCAAAAAAAAAACAGAAGTAGTTTTAAGAGAGATAGTCTCAATCATTTTATTGGACGGTTAATGATAAGCATAAATAATACTTGAGCAATTAACGAATGCAAGTAACGTAATGGTTATGTAAATATCCCCCGTATATTTATAAGAAAAAAATATATAATTACATTCTGTGAAACGATTTTGCAATTTTTGAAGCGAAAATATATTTCTCCTTTGAGTCTTTTTTACATACATATTTTCCTATTGCTTATTAAATTTATTTTTATTTCGACATGTTTAAGTATCATTTGTATTGAAATTATTACTATTTGTTTATTACATAAAAATTGAGACGTAAATGTATAATGCTTGAGAGATTGCTACAAATATATGCTTACGTAACTCGTAAGCTTAAACATACTACTATATACGGGTAAGAACTGTAAGAGTAATTTGTATGAATATCAAACAGACAATTATCATCGACATTTTGTGTTTACAATGAAATTGTTTAATCAGTTATTTATTAATGATGCGTCATTAGTGAAAAAATTACATATTCATCATAACTTGAAAAAATTTTACGCCTTTCTAAATAATTTTTATAAAAATAATTCTTATGAAATTTTTTTTGGAAATCTGTTTTCTCCTGAATCTCTTGGAAAAATACAAGTAAAGAATAATTTTGCTAAATATCTAAAAATTTAATTTGATATAAATCTGAAAATAATTTTGTTAGACTATCAAAATAATTATGTATGATGTTTAAATTGATTGCTAGAATATCAAAACTTTTTGCAATATTACAGCATTATGTTTTTTGCCTACATAATATTTAATCCAACTATAGTCCAACAAAATTATTTTTAGATCTACATCTACTTAAATTTTTAGATACTTTAGCAAAATCTTTCACACAATTAAATGTACAAATATGTTTAAAACTAAGAGAAATTTTGTTGCATGAATACATTTTTTAATCATAATTTATGACAAAAGTTTTTCATTGTATTCATTAATTCACATTTAGCATTGGACATATATTTAGGTCTGAATTAAATTTCCTATTTAGATTCTGATCAAATAATATCTAATTGTATTGTAATTTTATACAATAAATAAAAGCTTCCGGACATATTAGATTTAGATATTCACATCCGTTCTACAATACGATAGTAAATGCAGATTGAATGTTAAGTTATCTCTACAATAGAAACGATCTGATATCGACTAAATTTATATAAAAACAATTACTCTCTGCTCCAATGCTTCTTCTTCTCCCGGAATTTCGATTTCTGTTGGACAAAGGTATCGCGCCATTTCGTAATGAATGACGTGCCGCGTTTTACTTTCACGTAAAAATGCAATACTTGTCGCTTTTCCCTCTCTTTCTCAATTGATCCAATCATTAGTATTATCACTCATCCATGTTGTAATTACGTAATTAACAATGAACATTCTCTGTATATATACATACACACATTATGATTATTGTTTAACATCACAATGAAGTGGAAAGTTTTCATCAATCATACACGAAAATTTTTATTAGTCATTTCATTTTCATGACGTTTCAGAAATTTAACGCAGATTTGCTTTGTTATTATGTGAATTTAAGAAAAAAACGTGTTAAATATCTTAAAGCTCTAACTTTCATTTGATTAAACATTTTTAAAAGATTCAGATACAGATTGTAAAGAAAAAAATATTAAATTACTGCAAAATGCATTATAAAGATGAAGTATTAAATTTAAGCAATAATATTGGTTACAAAAATATGTGTAGATATACAAAAATTATATTTGTACACTGTAAATATTTTTATAATACATTTGTGTGTTATAAATTAGATTACATATTGTTTCCTCGTATCTTCTTATTTTACACAAGAATATTTATCTTCATCGGCTTATTATTACATCTATTTTTGCTAATGAAGTTAGCGAGGCCTTATAATTTCTGAGACCCGGACCTTTGCAATATAAAAAGAAGTGCCATTGCACTGATGCATAGGAGCGATTGCGGGGGCGAGTACGAAATGAAATGAGAACCTCTGTCCTTTCTCTCACGAATGTATATCCATGGTGGGGACTGCCGCGATTCGCCAAGGGAAGGGAGTTTCTCGTGGTGCTTGCCGCTCACGGACATACTTTTCACCAGTCGCGAATACTGTCGCGAATACAGTGAGCGTCAGACGCGATGCGATTCGCAATCGTAGTGTCCTCCTTTGACAGGATTCTTCTCCCGCATTGTTTTCAAAAGTAACTATTAGCTAGCTATTTGTGACGCGATGTGACATCGTTCAATGTTATTTATCGCTGTTTATCGATCATCTGTGTTGAAGGTCCAGGTTGCAAAATCCAATGTAAGTGCGAAAGAAACAAATTTGCGTGTTTGAAGCTTTTATAAATAACACAGAAAATTCGTCGATATGTTCTTTATCTTCGTCTACGTTTTTCATTCTTGATCCTCATCCATTCTTCAGACAAGGATCTTATTCGCTCGAGGACAACGAGAAATAGCAAAATCCTGTGAAGACTCAACAGGTTCTTTAGACTAAGAAGATCGGTAGTCTGATGATGACTCGGTTTCCTGCACACCGTTGTTTCGTAGCATGCCGGTTTGCCAGTGACGACCGGATAGCGGAAGTCGCGAATGAACGATCGTGAATACGCGGATCCGACGTCAACGTCCATCGAACTTGTTTCTTATTCTTGTCGTCCGTCTGTCGCTAGTCCGCCTACTTTCATGGTAACGGAACAGTAAGCCACATAAATATTAAAACGGGTAGGAATGCCGGTAGCATTTCTACCGAACCCGAATGATCGATGCGAAAATCCGAAGATAAGTGATCTTTTCTTTCATGTGGGTCGATCTTTGTTCTGGACCGACGCCAGACTTGTGCCGCGATGTTTCTCGGTTGTTTTAACTGGAACTTTACGTTCCCATCCCGAACGTCAATGAATCCAGTCTGTGAATTTCAATTCTCTTCGTGAACCGTTTCGACAGCCGATTGCTTTGTTGTTCGTGCACGATTTGTAATCAATAAAGCTAATAAAGAAGATCAAAAAGACAAGGAGAAATAAACACAGACTGATCTCAACGGATAAATCTCAGATCTACAGCGGAAAGGCGAACTAAAGAGTCAAGAATGTGTCTACCTGCAGAAACGCTATTAATCTTATCTCACCGAATGAAAGCGATGCTAGCGTTGTCGCCAGCGTAGCGCTCGACTTTTGACCTTTGCGCAGTAGGACTCGAGAGGATCGAAAAAAGAAAAATCGCGAGCGAAAGTCTCGCCGAGTAGACCGTGTAGAGCGAGACGCCCGGCTCAACTCGGCTTCTCGATCTTTGTTTTCTGTTCGCACGCGACTTTCGAGGTCATGAAGGTCCGGAGTTATCCCGGCCGGGCGGTTCTAGAGGATCCTGAACTCCTCCTGGACCCGGACGCAACACGCGGCAGGGCCATGGAATTGCTTTACGAGGCCAGCTGGCGGGAGTGCGGGGTCAACTGGACCAGCAACGGCAGCAGCAAGATTTCCGCCAGGCAACAAGACGACGAGCCTTATAGGCGACCATACGC